TACGTAAACCAAAATTTCCGGTTGTCATATTCGTTGCGCAAATATTCGTGAATCCGAAATCCGCGTGACTCGTGAGCGTCGAGTCGTCACGATTTCGAGAGAAAAAAAAAAATCAAATGTATAAAAATAAAACATTAGCGCGCTCTTACCGTGTCGCACGTATGTAAATACAAGCCCCGCTCCGCCCGATGTTCTTTCAGGACATAGTTGTGATCATGGATCGACGATCGAACGTGCATCTTTATCGCCGGGAAACGCGTTCGACGCATTGAACTTAACGAACGTGGCGGGACACGTTGCGCGACGTAAAGCAAAGCAAAGAAACGCGCGACCTTGACGGTTTCCATGACTCGACCGACACGTACTGTTCGATCGGTACGTGCTCGCGAGACGATTCGCGTATTCTCCCGGAACGATTTCGAATGAAACTGGTTCGAACAACGGTATTCTCAGTAAAAGAAACACCGATAACAGAGCAACTTCGTCCTTCGGCCGTTCCAAGAGCATCGTTGTTCAATTTGTAAATTTCCTTTGAAAACCGAGAATGTAAAAAACGAATGTTTCAGATGTTTTGTTTTTCAGACTTCAAAGTCCGCGCGCGCGAGATGAGATCCTTTGATAATAGTCACTATGTCCGTCTCTTTTCAATTCGTCCAAGTTCGGCAAACTTCGTCCGAATTCGTATAACCTATAAGTCAGAGTCATAGCATAACCATTGTAAATTCTAACAAAAATTATGCATTCGATCTTGTATTCTTTTGTTCTTTAAAACTCGATACGAGCCGGAGATCTATCCGCGAATCTATGAAGAATGTGTACGAAGAAAAGAGTTCAGCTGTGTAACCAGGTTCGTCGCGAAGGAAGGAAGCGATACGCGCGCGAGCGCAGCACGTGTTACGAGCTAATTTCTACGACACGACACAGGGCACAATGTGCGGCACCCATGCGCATCGACGGGAAAAAACGTTGTTTCACGAGTTCATCGCGGATGCGCCTCGTTTCACGGACACGCGACAAACACCCTTACTTTTAAATCGTTTCGAATTATATATACTAATCTAAACCTCTTCCCCGATCGAGTCTCTTCTATCCAAACAGTTCGATCACGTTTATCCTATCTTATTGTTTTACAGCATTGAAAATCGAAACTAATAGACTGATCGGTCGATTTCAAATACGATTTCGAAGAAAATTGTTGGTCGACGATGACGCGATACGCAACCTGACCGGAAATCAAGACCACTCGGCTCCGTTAGTATACAACGCATACCGATTCTCCTCGAACCAGTGCGTAGGCAACGTTTGCCCACTTATATGTATACACACACCATGTACACAATGCGATGCGATGCGACGCGACGGCGACGTACACCACGACGATGCACACCCATGCCCGTCCCCGGAAACTTTAATAACTAAGCGGTCGGATTTCTTCCAGGAAACTTTCCTCCCAATCGTTACCCCGGTTGCCAACTCTACTAATCTAGATTTTACTCTCTCGCATTTTCGAAGCTTCGATCGATTCTTTATACGATTCTGAACGATGCGATTCGCATGTGTACAGTTCTTTTCTCTCTAGTTGAAAGAGTAAGGAAAGAAGATATTTTGGCCAGTTCGCGAAGAATGCAGATATCGCGAAACCCAATCTAGAAGGTCGGTAGCGACAGGGTTATAGCCCCTGTTACTGGATCGCTATCTGAATCCACCGACTCGATAAGCCGTTTCTCACGATATCGCGCATCACCGGTGGTGGGAAGAGATCCGAGATCCGAGGTAGCCGGCGTTGAAAAAAACCACGCAACGTCTGGCCATACCCCCTTTCCTCTATGAAGAAGAGATTTAGACGAGCAAAAATTATAATTATTTTTCATATAAAATATTTCGCGAGAATTTGGGGGGGAAGGGGGGGGGGCGAAAGTTTCATTTTCGATTCGAAGACGTTCAAGAAAATCGACAAGTATCAAGCCGTATGCTGCCATGACAACCACCTTCGACCCGAAGTCGAGTCGGCGTTAATATTTACGAGCTATGTTTTTGCAACTGTTATCAGTTTCCCATTTACTTTGTTTTCCAACATTTCGCGTTCGCGACGAAGCGCCGATAAAAATGAAACGACGTACGGACGGTAGAAAACCGAGAGGGGAAGGGAAGTCGCTTTCGTGGAGAGGCAAGTCTAAACGTGGCAGGACTAGTAACAAACGAATACGTGTATAAGTGTAATAGGTCAATGTGTAGGTATCATCGAGATTCGATCTTAAAAAACCGAATTTCAAATTGTAACTTCAATCTCGAGTGCGACATTACGTGAACTAAAATAGAAAATATAAATAACGATAAAATAATCGTAGATTGAAACGCGAATGTGACATATGCCACGAGGACATGACATACGTTTAATACATATACTGTACTATTATATACTATATTGGTTTATCAAATTACTTATTCGAACGTTAAACGTTCTTATCCTGTAAATTTATTTACACCGCTACATTTTTAATCAACAAAATCGCTCGAAAGAAAAGTAAAAGTAAAAAGCATAGATGGGTTAGTTGAAACATCAATTAATCGTAATCGAAACGTAACGTTCATCGAATACACTCACTGCATATTGTCGTTCCTGCTGACGTCCAAACGATCCTAAATTCTTTGCTTCCTCTCAACACCTTCTTTTTACACCTCAATTCCTTAGCCTGCACGATAAACTTCGAATTCGTAAGGAAAACGCGGGAAATAGGAAACATTCACAGGTTGATAGGAAGAGACAAGAAACAATGATTCAATGATTCTTTCACGGGACAGGAACGAACAATGTGAACGGAAAACGTAGAAGCGAATGGCGTTGGAGGACCTCCAAAGTGGTCAGGATTTCCCCTTCCGCGAATCTCTCCCTTCCTTCGTTTCTTTTCAACGTTCCTGTCCCCTCTCGTGATACCTCGATCCCGCCCTCGATTAACACTTCTCTCTCTTTCTTTCTTTCTTTCTCTCTCACACACATATACACACATACATTCTTTTCAACTTCACGCCACTACCCATACAGACTTTCCAAACTATATACCACCGATCCTGCGGTTTACGACCACCGACCATTGAGATTCACGCGTTCGTTTCTGCTCTCGTTCTTGCTCGCATTTCTAAACATTTATTTCTATTCATGATTGTTTATACTTTCGTAGCGATTAATCTAAATCTAATTTAAAAAGCTTAACGGTTATCATCGATGCTTGGCTGTCGAAGAGACTAGGGAAGAGACTATATATTACTTCAATCGAGACTATCGACATTTCTTCGACTATCGACATTTCTTTTCACTTTCACTTCGATCTGCGCGTCATCTCGTATCACTTATGCGTACTAATCCACGAAACGGTTACGTCGATTTGCAACATCGAGAAAAAACACAAAAAAGAAAAAAAAAGAAAACTTAAAAATTATTCTTGCTTCGTCTTTTTTCCTTTCGATTCTACTCGCGCGTAGAACGCGTCTAAAGTTCTTCCTCGAGTCTGTTACGTCACACGATACCTAAAGGTTTCTTGGAACGCGTTTCTGGGTTCGACTGTGGTGAACTGTAAACCGTGCGATGATTCACAACGACGAACTTTGCGTCAAGGATCAACAATTACCGTTTACACATCGCTTTCGTTCCCGCTTATACGACGAGTAACTTAGCAACATGCACTCGGTTAAACAGCAAACAAGTTCAAATAAACGGGGGGAGAAAGAGTAAAGAAAGGAAAGACGGGCGAGAACACACGAGACGTAGAGGTTACGAGATCACCGACAGTAAACGAGCAGACTTTGCGTCATCTCGGATCTTGGCGCGCTCGTAATCACGACAACAAGATACCCCGCAAAAAGAGAAACGAAAAGCAGATTATCCTCTGCACCCGAACTTTAGATATCTATAAATTCGAAGGTCGTGGCCCCTGCACGCGCAGACCGCATGAGGAAATCGACAAACACGAAAACCGGGCACGCAGGAGCGTAGATAGAAGAATTAAAAATCGAGCCCGCAAGATTTTTCCAATTTCGAATGCTTCTATATTCCGAATTGAAGAAGTTCTATCGCCGTTCTATCCTCTCTTTGTTCTCGAACATCGCCCGATTATAAAATGCAACTACTTTAATCGACGCAGCTCTCGATAACGTTCCGTTTTCTCGCCGCGAGACACGGACAACGCATGATCGAAGAATCGTTTCCCTATCGGAGTCAATAAACTCTTATCACCGTAAAAAAGAACGACGAGCGCGTGTTCTGGTATGAATCGATTCTCGTCCCGACCACGATCAAGTTTTTCGTGGATCGCGAAGGAAAAGTAGATTTTCCATCGATATAAGAATATTGAATATCAAAAAAAAAAAAAAAAAAAAGAAAGAAATACGAGAAACGGTCTATCCCTTTGTTACGTTCTTATGCTTACGAATGCTTACACATGCGACGGGATTTCGGGTATAAACCGATCGATGGTAAAGAACGTTTGGAGGACGTGCGGCTCGTGCCTGGACGAATCGGTAAACACCAAGGGATGTTGTTCATTTTCACGAAACTGTTAGCATAGGGCCGGAGAGGCGTCGCACTGTTTTCCATCCCCGGTTTAGCTTCATTTTTGGTTTTGTATCGCCTACGTATACAATACTTTGGGTGAACATCGAGCATTCCTTAAGCCGCCGTGTAAATACCGTTGCGAACGGTTAAAACCTTTCGGTGGATACGCGGCCTCTCACGATCACGCTCGGTCGCGCTTAGAACACACGATCGCAACGAACGAAGATGAGGGCGAGGCGAGGAAAGTCTGATTATCAAAGAAATGAAAAAAAAGAACAAACTCGACTCGATCTCTGGAAAATGACGATCGAATTACCTGGTGAGCGGTCCACTGGGCGAGTGAGGAGTCGACGATCCTGGCTCGTGCTCTTGATGATGATGAGGCGTTCCGACAGTGTGATGAGCGTATATCGAGTCCATGTAAATCTGATCGGAGACTCGGTCTGTGTCCTGGCCAAGGCCGTGGTTCGACTGCACCGAGGAAGGTGGCTGCATAGCTGTCAAATGGGCGTACGACTGTCTCCCTTGTTCGCTCGGACTGTATCCACCCTCTGTCTGCCCTTGGCGATGAGGCGACGAAAGTTCTTGATCCTCGTGCGGACTACGACTGGAGCCCGGTGAGCTACCGGTTCGAAGCGCCGGTGAGCATCCACCACCGCCTCCACCTCCGCCGCTGCCGCTGCCACCGCTGCCCTCCGCACCGCTGCCACCTCCGCCTCCGCTGCCGCCGCCACCACCTCCTCCACCGTTACCATTACCGCCACCTCCTCCATTACCTCCGCCTCGCATTTGATGCTGAAGATACGCCGCGTCCGGCAAAACCTCCTCCAAGTGATGATGATTGTGGTGATGATGATGATGGTGGTGGCGATTATGCTGTTGTTGCTGCTGCTGTTGGTGGCCATCGTTCCCACCGATCTCGCTAGCGGAACTGGTCGCACCGGTGCTCGCAAGATTTGGGAACAGCATACCGAGGTTGAAATCTCCACGGGCGCCGCTCATCGCTACCGCGATTCCACTCGTTCGCTCCACCACGTCCTCGTCCGGTTTTTGATGCGCCACCGATTGCGACTGCGG